AAAACATGTGCTTTGGTTCTTTTCCACTTCACAGGCATATATTCAATTCTGAGAATGCTTCATCTGCTCAGAAAGAAAGATGGAAAAAACAAGCCTTATCACGGATGGGTTTTTTTCAGCAGATTAATCAAATGCCTCTCATTACACAGATGATTGCTGAATGATTATTTGCTGAATGATATACAGTTTTAATTAATTTGAATTTACATTGCATGAGCCTGGAATTAATATTTCTATTTTTAATCTAAAGAATTCTGGCAAGTGGTTCTGATTGAATTAATCGCTCATGCTTCCAATACTCTGGCTGTGGAGTGACAGTGGCCCTCATTTTTGAGCTGTAGGTCACATCTAAGATGATAATTCACCATTGTAACATTGTAGATAAGTCAGAAAACAAGGAAAGCATGCCATGGGCTCTTGAAGCTTTTGAAGTGAGAAGAGCAGAGACTGGCAGAGACTGACCACATCTCCTGACCTTCTTACTCAACCTGTTGGTCTCATTCATAAAACCAGTGTGGTTGTTAGGGTCTGATACAAGCTAAATTAATTCAGGCAAATCATCCCAATTCCAATAATTATTTAATATTACAATAATATTAAACAGTTCCATAAATTGTAAGACAATTCAGCAATCTGAACGATAGGGAATAGAATCACCACTCCTGCATAAAGAATAAACAATAATATTAGATATGAGAACTGTCAAAGTCAATCAGTCATGGTTGGCCCTACAGTACAGAGTCGAGCCAGGTTCTGGCTGTCCATCTGTCTGTCCCAAATGCACAAACTTCTCTCTCTATCTGACCAACCCTGTTGCCAGCTTTATTCACAGGGTCTTACGTCAATTTCTGAACTTAGCTTCCTGTCTCCACTTTTAAGAGGAACCACCCTGAGATGTACCCAAAAACAGGAAACAGCTTGACCAGAAAGCTTGACAGTCATGTGTGTTGTTTCAACACACACACACACACACACACACACACACACACACACACACAATTCCCAGAACAGAATAAGGTCAACACCTGCCAAATTATGCAAGCATTGTCCAGCTCACATGAACTTAGAAGTAAGCACATGAACAGTTCACACAAGGCTGAAGTTATGCCCAAGTTATATAAGCATCCTTTAACTCTAGCTATAAATGTACTGTTTGTGTATAATCTACTCACTCTAATAGTATTCTATTACATAGTCCATATTAACTTGTATCTTGTTTGTTTTTGACCACTACACCATCAAGGGGTGAAGGTGGGTGGTGACGGTGATGATCCTGCAGCTAACAAATAAATGGGCAAGGGCATTTTGAGGGTTACTTGCCTCTGTAAATTGGAACACCTATGGTTGAAACAAAATGGCCTGTACCATTAGTACATTGTCATTTGAATAGAAAGATATACAAAAAGTACCATTTATATAATGTCATTTGGTCTAACTTTCAGCAGAGCTAAAACTTGAGATAGCCCCTAGCAGACCTGTACTGAAAGTTAGGCCATAAGGTATACAATTATTCCTCCATTTTTAATTGGTCTTTGAGGTGCTGACACTGAATGATGACAATAGACAATGGGTTGTATTTTTCCTGTAATAGTGTGCAGTGCTAAACCCATGTTTAGTGCAAGGTAAATATGAACATGTTCAAAAATATGTTTGTGTTCAATAGGTCCTCGTCCATCATTAGAAATTCAAGACAGTAGGACAGGAAGGGCTCAGCTACTGTTAAGGTAAAATACTTGACCTGGTTATACCCTAGAACCAGAACTTTACCTAAATTTTCCCATTCATCCTTCACATCATGTCATTGTCATTAGTATTTCTGCATGTTTCCAGAAGTACAATTTGTTCCCCAGTATTCAGTTAAAATGTCATGCAAAACTCCACCATTATCTTTCATGCCTTTTTTATAGTGCTGTTCTTTCCATCCATCCAATTTCAACACATACTGTATGTCTGCCTTCTGGGCATATTTGTTCCCAGTCTTTTCTTTGCTTTTCACAAAATTGAAATTGGCCCTACAATACGGTCAGTGCTGTACATTTCGATATTTTAAGGCTATGTTCACATGAGCAATTTTATATTATTTCTGTCTACTTGGACTTCTAAATGGTAAAGTAGCTCTAAATTATGCCAATATATGCAACTCAGACCATTACAAAAGGTACCCAAACCCTTTTTTGAAAATGATGTCACATAGATCTCTCTGAGTTGACCTCGACAATTGCTTCATCTAAATCATCAACATGTCTCTTATACCCCATCCCGACTAGGCTGCTCAGAGACGTTTTACCCCTAATCAACACATCCATATTAGGTCTGAGGAACCTCTCTCTATTAACAGGCCATGTCCCACAGGCTTTTAAGGTTGCTGTAATTAAACCTCTATTCAAAAAGCCTACTCTTGACCCAAGTCTGACCTGTTGGCTGTCATGAACGGCGCGCGATGCTGCCGAAAAGTGTTTGGTGAACTCATTAAAGGGCCAGACGATGAAATGTAAAACAAAACTGTCTCTTTATTAAGCGCACTAACATTGAACAAAAAAAAACAAAAAAAAAACAGGACAAGACATGGTGTACAAAATAAAACACACTTACGGGTTGGTATAACAGTCCGAGATCAGAGCCAGCAAACACGTACAGCAAAGGTAATCCAAAATGCGTAGTCCGAAGGGAAGTCCGATAATCATGCACAGTGAGCAAGAGGGCAAGGCAGAGCAGAATAGTCAGAGGAACAATCCGGGTCAAAAACACAAAGTACCAAAACCGAAAAATGGTGAAGAGTCAGAGCTGGCATCTAGAACAATCTGGCAGCGTCCTAGTGGGAGGACGCTGCCTAAACAGAAGTGAAAACAGGTGTAAACTATTGCGAGTGATGAAGAAAGAAAAAAGATCGAAACTGTGGTGAAACAAAACAGGAAGTAACATCAAAATAAAAGCCGGACAGGAATGACAGTTGGCCATTTATGTGCCGCGGAGAGCTCTCCGATCTGCTGATCATTTGTTACTGGTGGTCCCACGATCTCGCTATAAAAAGTGGGGCGACTGTTTGTTTTCTATTTCTGGCCCTAGACTATGGAATGATCTGCCGGTCATACTACGGGCGGAAAGCGATCTAGTGGCCTTTAAATCGGCCTTAAAGACCCACTTTTTTAAGCAGGCTTTCGAGTCCTAACTTGTCTTTTGTTTTATGTTTTTAGAATTTGGTTTAGTATTGCTCTGTGTTTTTGATTGTACAGCACTCTGGTGCTCTCGTGAGCTGTAGACTGCTATATAAATAAAGTTTATTATTATTATTAAGTGTTCTAGCTAATTATAGAATCATATCCAATCTCCCGTTTATTTCTAAAATCCTTGAAAAAGCTTCTACAAAGCAGTTATGTGACCACCTGCACAAGACTGAAAATCTTCAAACAAATCAGTCTGGTTTTAGAGTCTAAATGAAGAAATAAAGAACAAATCAAATCTTTCCTTGCAAGGATGGCAGACCTTTTAGTTTTAAAATAGAATAGAAAATTTTGGAAGTGAAAATCATTTTTGAAGCCTGTTTATTGGTACTCCCCAAATGAAAATAACAAACAATTTTACCTAATTGTGAAGTAGAATTGATGTTCTCTCCACTGCTGTCAAAATAATTTGTCACCAGCTTTGAAATCTCAAGAAAAGTATACCTCAAAAATACTGCAGGTGGCCATTTTGGGTTTCGGCAGGAGGATTCTGGGTCAGC